TATGTGCTCGAATGGCCCAACAGGTCAATTGCTGGCTTCTAGAAGATGAGGCACTCGAGCCTCCTCCTTTCCTGTCTTGGTGGTTGTTCATTATCCTCCATCCTACTGCCGCTTTTGCCAAGCCCTACGAACGCACCAGCCTTTGGGGAGTAGAGAATTATAGAATGAGAAGGGAAAAAGAGTGCTTCAAAACCGAAGAGTGGACGGAGGTGTTCTCCACCTTGATGCTGGTGAGTTAGTTACACAGATGTGCACGCACGTGAAAATGCACGGGCTGAACACTAAAGGTCTGTGCACTTATATACTTCCCAGTTTGTATTTTACACCTCGATAACATGTTGGTAAACTCTTTTAAAGAATGGACTTCCCCAGACATGGCTGTGCTAATATTTTGATGGGGAACAGTCTCGTAGAGGGGTTCTCAGTGGCCCTAGGAGAACCTCCCAGTGCAGAAAAGCCTCCTCTGCACACTCCCCCACCCCATCCAGTGTGGATCTAGAAACGCCCAGGCTTCTTATACGAATTTCTCCAGGAGAGAAATTCAGGTGGTACAAGAAGACATCAACCACAAAGAAAGAAGCCTGCTCCGCTCACTGGGCCAGCCCCTCCTTCCTCAGGTAGATGGGAAGGAAGGGACCCCCACCCCTGCCGTAGAGAGCCCACCACCCACTATGAAGAGCAAATGAAGGCCTCTGATCCCTGACGGGCACAGCACAGAGGCGGCAGCCACACTTACCGAGCTGCAGGACACCCAGCTCGCCATCAGCCTTGTTGGACACCGGCAACTGATTTCTCCTAGAAAAAAAGAAAATGTCAGTGCCCCAGAGGACGAAGAGAGGTGCCAACAGCGGAGAAGAATGGGCGGGGACCAGACGGGGTCCGCAGACGGGCTTTCTCTAGTGCCGGCCTCGCCGCTCTGTGTGCCTCGTACTGGTCACTCTCTCTGCCTCTCTGAGCCACGAGTTCCATACGGAATGGGACCAAATTATCTTTCAATGCTGTGTTCACACACACACACACACACACACACACCCACACCAGCCAGTGTAGGATGGTAAACCCCGTAGGCTGACACTTGCCAAGAACCTAATGAAAGTTAATTTGCTGTCACCATGATACTGGTGGGGTGCACACACGCGCACACACACACACACACACACACACACACACACCACGTTCTTGTCATTACAGACAATATTTTCATCTCATCTCTATTTTTTTTCCTCTCAGCTTTCCTGTAAAGCTATTAGCAGCCATTTGTAAGAAACCTCTGAAATGCAGCAAAGAACCTGTCCTGTATCCTTCTCTTACCTGAAAAATTGTCCTATGATTCCGATTTGTAAATTCAGGTAAGTGCATGGGAACTTTCTTAAAACAGTCTACCTGAATTTTAGTGCTCCTTAAGTTGTTTTTTTTCCTTCCAGCATTCACCCATCTGAACTAAAGTAAAATCATTTTCTAAAAAGAACATATTAAAAATAACAATATTACATCAGTCTCCGAAAACCCATTTACTATGTCAAAAACAATGACAGCTCTTTTGATGGTGGCATTGAAATATATTTTCCTCCAGCATCCTTGCAGGGGGAGATATGATTGAAGGAACAATCATAATCTCGCCGCGGCTCGTTCTGTTGAATGGCCGGCTTCCTCCTGAAGACGTATGGAGGGGCGTGCGGGGGACGTGGCCGAGGACGTGCAGTACCAGGCCCGAGCGCACGCTTCTTTGGACTCGGGTTTCCTTCCCCGGCACTGGAACTGAGCCCCTACCCCCCCCCCGGAGGCCCTCCTGCTGCCCTCGTCCTCCCCCACACATCGTGCCCATTTTCCCCAATTCAAAACCACCCGGTTCTTACGCCGCTATGCTGCCAGGATTCCACAAGCGTTCTCGTGGGGAACAGTGAAAGGAGGAGCTGGGAAGGGGCTGAGGCATGGAGGCGCCCCAGTCCCCAGCGCTGTCATGAGAAGCCTCTGCCAGCCACACCTCTCCCACCCCCACCTGCTCCAGACCTCTCTGGAACATCCCAATGGCGACAGCGTCTCTCTTAGACCCATTTTTGCTCTCTGCCCCTTCATCCCTCACCCAGATCATTGTGAGAGCTCCTAACTGGTTTCCTGACCCCCAGGGGGACGCCCCGCCCCATTGCTGGCCCCCCACATCTTCACATGGGTGTCAAAGGCATCTTTCCAAAAAAAGAAAATCTGACCCTACTGCTGCCTAGCCGAAATTCTTCAAAGGTTCCCATCATCATCATCATCATCATCATCATCATCATCGTCACATTCATAAAAATGACAGCAATAATAACAGCAAATACTGTTATCTGACTCCACTGACTGTCCTAGACTCTGTGCTCAGTGTTTTGCAAGCATCGAGTGCAGCCAAGTAATGCAAGTGGCCACCAGAAGCTGAAAAAGACAAGGAAACAGATCGTCCCCTAGCACCTCCAGAAGGAACTAGCCCTGCCAACACCTTGACTTTAGCCCAGTGGAACTGATTTCGGACCTCAGTCCTCCTGAACAGTGGTATTTTAAATTCACGCTGTTTTCAGCCACCCAGTTTGTAGTAATGTGCTCTACAGCAGCCACAGGAAACAAATACACATGGTAAGAGATAACCAGCGGGGAGACAGGACTGCGGGCTTCTCCTGGCTGCCCCCGTACCCGGTGTGCCCAGCACCGAGTCAGTGCTCCATGAATGGGAGCCAAACATCGAGCTACGCGACTCACACAAGGTCACACAACTCAGAAGGGCCAGAGCCAGGACTCGGACCCAAGCCCCTGGTTCCAAACGCTCTATTTTGCTTTATTTTATTTTACATTTCCTTCCCCTGCTCAGGACCCTCCATAGCTCCCTGTGGACCATGCGACGAAGTCTCCACACGGCCCCACTGGCTGCAGAAGGCAGAGCCACGAGGCCTCAGGTGGCCATGAACTGTGGCGAGCGGGTGGGGGTGATGTTCCCGCTGGGCCGCTCCCAGTCATGAGACCTCCACCCGGAGCGCCATCCATCAGAGGCCAGAGCCCAGCTCAGATGCTTTGTGCTCGTTTCCCACAGATCTCATCACCAGCGGAGACTTCAAGTATGCCTGCGCTCAGGGAATGCGCCTATTGTTCCTTTCATGTGTCTCCTCCAAAGTTTAAAAGGTCAGTTTAAAAGCATGTTCTTGCCTTTGAGTGAAAACTATTATGAAAAACAATGACAAAAAGATAAATCAAGGATTCAAAACACTTTTTCAAAATGTGATTGTGCAAATAACCCAGAGAAATGTGTCAAAGTGTGCGTCTAATAATAAATCCATGGGAGGCGGGCCGCAGTCACCCAGCTCGCCCGCCGTGTCTGAGGCTTCCGCTTCCATCCCAGCTCCTCTCTGTGCCCTCGAGGAGAGGCACGGGCCAGGGCACCGCAGGTGTTCAGAGCTATCCGGGGCCAGGACTCAAAATCTGGGTGACTGAATCTTGACTGGAAAGAGCCACTCGGAGGCCTGAGTTCTGATCCCTGTTCCCCAACCCTCCATCCCCCCCACCCCACTTTGTGTGACCTTGAGCAAGCACTTATGCTCTGTGGGCATCAGGCACCTCATTTGTGGAAAAAGCCTGAACATGCCCACTCACCGCGGGACAGGACCAGGTGAAGGGCTTTGAGAGGGTGGACGTGCCCAGGCTCTGCTATTCTTAAAGATGCTCTACTGCTTCTATGTCCCAATATTTCACCAGCCTTTAACATAAAAACAGAGATGAGAAGGCGCATTTTCCTATATGTTTGGGACTGGATACTTGGCTAAATTAGTTATGGATCCCAAAAGCAAGGTGTCCACAAGAATAAAGATATTGATCACTTACGATATGTTCTATTTGATGAAAACTCAGAACCATTTAAAAGCTAATGTAGCTAAATACTATCAAATAGAAATAGACTGGGATAAAAATCATTATGAGTGATAAACCGATTTGTTGCAGACTCACAAACATAACAATTCAATAGGAAAATTTAGCCATGATGAACCTCTATAAAATGAGGTTAATAATAGTCCTACCCCAAAAGATGGTGGTGAGGATTAAACAAGTTAACTTATCAAGTACTGAGAATAGTACCAAACATGCAGTAATTGCTACATAATAACTGAGATGATGATGATGATGATGATGATGATGATGGTTAATGAGGCTAGTAGAATCTTGATTCCAAACCTTAACACTTATAAACAGTGCAAAAATATGAAAAAAAAAATAATAGACAATTGCATCAGCCATGAGTTTGAGGAACATTATGACCAATTAGAGATGCAAGAAAATTTTATTTAAAAATCTAATAATGTAATTCACACCAACAGGTTGGAGGGGAAAATGCAAAATAATCTCAATAGATGCAAAAAAAGCATTTGATGAGAATACTCACATATATTTTTAAAAAAAGGACTTAGCCATCTCCAAGGAAGGCGGCGGCGGGGGAGGGGGGTCACTTCACTTGATACACATATTTGAACCCCATGGAACACCCTAACAGCGAAGCACTGGAGACACCCCTCCTGGAAGCAGTCACCCCGTGAGAAAGTCCCTATGCCACAAGCCTCAAAATCACACTAGAGACACAGCGGAGGCAGTGCTGGCAGGTCACGTGACACTGGCAAGTCCGGGCTTCCTGACCCGGGATCACATTCTCCCGCTCCAAATAGAACATCCTTTTGGAAAGAACTAGAAAGTCAGGTGGGAATGAGGCAGAGCTGTTGGGGTGACGGTGGACACAGAGGGACGGGACAGATGAGCCATCGGACCAGCTCATGCCAGAGGATGCTGGCATCACCTGGCAATAAACGACCTGCCCTGAGCCTCAACCACCCTTTGGCCAGAACCATCCCTAGGAGGCTGCCAGGACCACAGCACCTAGCGATTCCGGGCTTCAGCTCTCCAGACACCCCGCACCCCCACCTCCCTTCCCAACCGACCGCCCAGGAGCTTCTTGGCCCCGTGTGCCTTGGACAAGCACTGAGCAGCGGCCGAGATGAGCGTTCTCTGCTTTCCTCACTCATTAAGGACTGACCTTGGGGAGGAGTAAGCTTTGTGAGGCGGGTCCCCGAGAGCGAGCTGATTTGAAAAAGCACTTTTTGTTTCATGAAGTTCTCTACAAAAGGGATTTTTGTTTTTCTTTTCATTGTCCTGCTCTCCATCTCTCTTTGGCTTCCTACAGAGACTTAGCCAAGCTGCCTCAGAAACGACCAGGTACAGAAGCACAGGGAGGCAGACGTGGAGGGTGCCGAGGGCGTCACCTGGCACAGCCTTGGGCTTCACGGATGAGGAAACTGAACAAACTGAACTCTCCCAGGAGCTCAGCGTGATGGGGTCCATGTCCCAGCCGCGGGGAGCATGCCACTTCCCCGGGCCACCGAATCAGCAGGCATTTTTAAAATTAAGCCGCTGAGAACATGAGGTGTCATGAAGGGCTGGGTTATCGAGAAGCCGTCGCGCACTAACCATCACCGTGTGCAGCGGCTTCAGCAGATCTGTTCCATACCCTGCCCTTGCCAGTTCTGTTGACCTTCGACATATAAAAAGAATCTTTTTTTTTTCCTCTCCCTTTTCTTTTCGCTTAAGGATGTGGAAAACCTGACTAGGATTGCCTGGTCTGACATTTCCTGTGAGAAAGCACTCTGTTTGGAATACTGCGAAAGCAATCTGCCTTAACAATTCAACCCAAATAAATGATCTTCCTGAAACTAGTGAAAAACCTTAATTGGGAACTGGGCTGCATCCCCAAGTCTCTCTCATCTGGGTCCATGATGACGAAGATTGGACAA